GTCGTTGAGAGCCTTTGTATTCCCGTATGCAGCGACGAACACTCTCCACTCGCTCAGTGTTGTGGATGCTCCAAACTCGTGCTTGAACTTCGCTGCCATCCTCTTCCTTGCGTTGAATCTAGCCGCTGCCACCAGTGAGACGGTTGTATTGTCCAGGATAACTCTGCCATCATCAATAATCAGAAGCCCTCTAAATACCAGTACAGCAATACAGGTGCTAATGCATATAGTGTAAATTACGATGATGATTGTGTCAAGTGTCACGTAAGAGGTGTGTATCGCACACCGCTCACAGGGCGTAGGAAGCAGATTTCCAATGGTCGGGCGGATTTTTAGCTCGTGAAGGTCGCGATTTTTTAATTTAACTCCGCCCAGTACGACTACTACAGTATTCACTTCGTCTTGAAGGTTAGACATGGGGAAGTTGCCATACAGGGGTTGTGAGCCCGCCTTTCGGCACCGGGAATACAGCTCGCTTGACTGTCTCTACTGAGTGAAGAGGGCGATTTTACTTGTCAAAGGATTGTTATGGACAGATACCGTGGTATCATGGAAGACTTGAGGTTATACTACAGTAGTATACTCCTGAAGTGCATGCAGAAGCAAGTAGATGTATTCGAATTAGGGCTGAAACGATCATCCAGTTAGCCCAATCGATTACTCTTTATCATAACGATCGATCATTCGATCATAATCTTTAGAGGCCGCACCGGGAATATGTACGTGGAATGGCCAAAAGTGGTAATAATTATGTACAAAATTTTGCACAAAAAAAGTGTTATGATTGTATGTAGACCGGAAGCAAACTTGACCTTCGAGCTTCATACTCCAGCTTCGTTGACGTTGTACTACACTAGGACTGTACTCGATGTTTGAACTCGCGCTGCATGCACTGCGTGTACTACATCCTGGACGGCTGCGACGCAGTGCGTGCAGTGTGTAGTACTCTGTACTAGACACTCTTCGCTGCATGCACTGCGCGTATAAGAAATTAAAAAATTTAAAAAAGGTAAAATAATCGTAATCGGTAATCTAAACGATTGCTCGATCGTTAGAGTTATCAAACGAGTACTCGATTATCCGGTATAATCGTATCAGCCCTAATTTGAATTGACAAATTTCCACTTAAAACTGTCCGAATTGGGAGAGCTGCTGCTCACTTCCATGCGCAAATTACCGTGCCGTACTCTTCTGGCACTAGCCGTCCAGCAGTTTCTTGTGGACATTCAGGAACATCAGATCAGGTGATTGAGCCTTTCCTGGCGGGTTGTACTGCGTTAGGGGCTGGTCACACTGAGGGAAAATTTTGAAAAAATCCGTGGTCACCATGGATATTTGCCGCTGAGCGGGAGATTTGAGAGATTTAATCCACTCGATGAAAATCAGCTCGAGGCCCCGCTTTTCCGCCGAATTTTATAATCATCCGCGGCTTCCACTGGATTTCTTTGAGTTTCCTTGTTTTTTATTGCGTTCTGAAGTGGAGCGATACTCTAGAGGCTGTGCTGATGCAGCTCTGGCCCAGGAGCGGGGCGGACAGACCGCCAGAAGCGAATGGTGACAAAAATATTGCTCGCGTGAGTGAGATTTTTTCGTTGTGCGTATGCAGTGTGGCCGTGATGAAAAGCAGAACAAATTATTCCCCGTTTATAATCTGAGGATTGTTCCCTCAATGTGACCGCCCCCTAAGTAGCACTTGATCCTTGACCTCCGCATGATTGAAAACGAGCTTGCTGCCTTTTTTTTGGCGAAACATTGGTCCGGCGGCCGCCGGACCTGCTGGACCTGTTCCTATGCCCTGTCCATGATCACCAGCTGCGTTCAATATTCAACAATAGAATTTCATTCCTAGCAAACCAGCCGTGTTTTAATATTTGAATATTCATATATATATTTACCGCTAGCTCATTACGATATGCTTCTCGGCAATCAGAAATGCAGAGGCGGAACGAGGTATTACTTTTGCTAAACAACATATTTTATCTCTATTACGCAAACCTGAACAATAATAAATAATAATAATAATTCAAAGGATCTGTCGGGGAAGTGAACTGCCTGAAAAGAGAAAAAAACGCCAAACCCACCAGGACTCGAACCTGGGACCCTGCTTGTCATGAGCAATGCTCTAACCACTGAGCTATGGGACCAGGCTGAACCCAGAAGGCGCTGACAAGTTTTTCACTCCAAAGGCAGCTCACAACACGTGCCACACATACTGATGGCACTTGGGTCTTTTTCCCTCCCCCCAGGGGACCAACCACGGTCAGTTTCTGGAAACTACCAGAGGTGAAAGAAAGTGATTAAATTTGGAAAGGATTGGGAGAACTTCAAATTCAAAGGATCTGTCGGGGAAGTGAACTGCCTGAAAAGAGAAAAAAACGCCAGACCCACCAGGACTCGAACCTGGGACCCTGCTTGTCATGAGCAATGCTCTAACCACTGAGCTATGGGACCAGGCTGAACCCAGAAGGCGCTGACAAGTTTTTCACTCCAAAGGCAGCTCACAACACGTGCCACACATACTGATGGCACTTGGGTCTTTTTCCCTCCCCCCAGGGGACCAACCACGGTCAGTTTCTGGAAACTACCAGAGGTGAAAGAAAGTGATTACATTTGGAAAGGATTGGGAGAACTTCAAATTCAAAGGATCTGTCGGGGAACCACGACCAACCAGTTCACTTCCCCGACAGATCCTTTGAATTTGAAGTTCTCCCAATCCTTTCCAAATTTAATCACTTCCTTTCACCTCTGGTAGTTTCCAGAAACTGACCGTGGTTGGTCCCCTGGGGGGAGGGAAAAAGACCCAAGTGCCATCAGTATGTGTGGCACGTGTTGTGAGCTGCCTTTGGAGTGAAAAACTTGTCAGCGCCTTCTGGGTTCAGCCTGGTCCCATAGCTCAGTGGTTAGAGCATTGCTCATGACAAGCAGGGTCCCAGGTTCGAGTCCTGGTGGGTCTGGCGTTTTTTTCTCTTTTCAGGCAGTTCACTTCCCCGACAGATCCTTTGAATTTGAAGTTCTCCCAATCCTTTCCAAATTTAATCACTTTCTTTCACCTCTGGTAGTTTCCAGAAACTGACCGTGGTTGGTCCCCTGGGGGGAGGGAAAAAGACCCAAGTGCCATCAGTATGTGTGGCACGTGTTGTGAGCTGCCTTTGGAGTGAAAAACTTGTCAGCGCCTTCTGGGTTCAGCCTGGTCCCATAGCTCAGTGGTTAGAGCATTGCTCATGACAAGCAGGGTCCCAGGTTCGAGTCCTGGTGGGTCTGGCGTTTTTTTCTCTTTTCAGGCAGTTCACTTCCCCGACAGATCCTTTGAATTTGAAGTTCTCCCAATCCTTTCCAAATAATAATAATAATAATAATAATATTGAAGGCTGTCGGTTAGCGCTACGGAGATGTGTTGAAGCTAGGTGTCAGGACGTCGAATGTCTCAGTACTCTTGTCAGTTTTGTGCCTAGTTATTGCACTTCAACTGACTGTATATAGCATCCAGTTACAGTGATGGAGAGTTAACTCGTATCCATATGTCCTTTTCCTTTCTACATTTATTTATGGCTCAATAATAATAATAATAATAATTTTTGAAAGGTTTGGGAGAACTTCAAATACAAAGGATCAGGTGGGGAAGTGAACTGCCTGAAAAGAGAAAAAAATTCAATACTTTTGACTCATGTCCTAATTGGCTGGTGGTGACTCTTGCGTAGATGCATGCGAGACGATACAATTTTTGTAATATTTTCTGCCTCCCTCCTAGTTTCAAATAAAAATAAAAATAAAAATATAAGGCTTGGTGAGAGAGACTACTCAATGCCTTCGGACTGTGCAGGGAGGAGATCTGGCTATAGTGCAACAGAAGGCTATCCAAGGTTCGGTTAAAATTCTAAGAATTGTCCTTAAGAGAGCATGTCTGAGAAAACCAGAACATATGTGCAAGTCGATCTCTCAGATTTCGCTCAAATTTTGCAGGTAGGTTTGCTTTGGGGTGTAGATCGACATTCCAAAGCCCGCGCAAAATCTTTTGAGGGGAACCATGAAATTGGCACACCCCTCAATATTGGCCCAATATTGGCACGATTTATGGGTCTACAAACGAGCCACGGCACAGCGTACAAGAACAAGCTACGAACAAAACTCCATCAAGCCAACATTACCTCACCTTAAAAGAGTTCTTGGGGCAGCACCACTTAGCCATGCCAGCATCCCAGAAGACGAGGGTAATCATCCCTTGACGCCACAAATGATCGTCTTGAAAATAGCCAAATTACAAGGCTATGTTACTGCTCAAAACTCATGACGTGAACAACCCACCCGTGGGCTGTGGACCCTTCCCCCGGCACCACACAACCCTCTCACTCATCGACTCCTGGTTACACTTTCACTTGAAAATAGGGAAATACTGGTACCAGTGATATGGAAGTAGGCGGAAGAACAGGGGAAAAGACAACGAAATCATAAACGACTAACAGTTATAAACAGACTAAAGAGCGAACAGACCAAAACGACCAATAGGAGACCAGTACGTGCGACACACGTGACGAGAACCAAGACAATGACACCGTGGATGAATCATGCCTCTCTCTCAAATCCAAGCGTTACCCACACAGCGCATGCTCCGCATACACTACGCATGCACGACAACCAGTACACAAGCCCACTCTCACAGACGGAAGCAAAATCTCACCCTCTCTAACAACGCTTACTCCTACATGCACCACACACACCATATTTGTCAACGATCACGCCATCCACACCATGTACTCCTGCATACACCACACTTCATATCTGGCCCACGTCATACCATACTCATACGGACATTAGACCATATAAAAGACACCAGACCAGAAAACACAGCACAACCAGATACAACAAAAATGCGAAAATAATAAGCGCATCGAATATCGCAACATATCGACGTCCTTAGCCGTTTGGCATGCAGCGTGCATGGCGTCTATAGACGTCATTAGCACAGAATGGGTTAAACACGAAAAATAAGTACTGGCACTTACAATTGTTGGATGCCATTGTGGTACGGAAAAGAGTTTGCCGCAAGGTATGGTATATTGCTGTTTTCTATTTGCCTGGGAAACACAGACAACAGTGCAGTTAATTTGTAAGAAGACATTTTAATTAGGGCTAAAACGATTATACCAATTAGTCGGTAAGCGATCGATAATTCCTTAGGCCATCATTTTTTATAGCTATGTTTCGCGTCGTCCGCACGCATACGTTTTGATTTTTTTCGGAAAAAAATAAAAAATAAAACATGCACAGTGAGTGTACGATAGTGCGAGTCATCAGTGTGGACAGGTTGCATACGGCGAAGCTGGGATTCAGAAATGGCCTCTAGCCTAGGCCAGCGTTGGTAAATCATTTGTTCGGCATCTGGGAGCAATATTCTATGAGCTTACACCAGACCGCATTGATCGCCTAAGCTGAGAGGATGCGTCGTTCCGGAGCTCTTTGCACCGCTGCTGAAGTCTGAGTACAATATTCCAGCGAAGCATAGGCACCAACGGTTGCCTCCTCTGTCCAAAGTGAATATTTTACTCATGCTGATAACCCAGATGTTGTGCTTCGATGCACGATTTTTCTTTCGAATGTACACCATGCACGAGCTATTGTGCTATGTACAGTGCATACACCTCTGATGAGCCTTTTTTTATTATTTTGCAACTTTTTATTTTTTTCCACCTCTCGCATATGATTCTGGAAGTTGAACTGACGCGAAACATAGATATAAAAAATGATGGCCTTATCAGTCAAGTAATCGTTACGTTCTAGACTACTCGTTAGGGATTTTGAGTCCAAAAAGTACTGAAAACCCTCGCTTTGTGAAGTTTGAATCATTTTCCACTGTGAGAATGCAGTTGCCAGGGGCATGGTGCATGGTGCACATTCTGAGATAACATTGACTTCAAAACTGCCATGTTTCGGAGCTACCCTGTCACAAATGCAGATTTTTGGTATTATGAATGCCTAGCTCTTTGAAACAGAGTAATTTTTGCACGAAACTCTGACAGTATTTACTAACAATCATAATCGATTAATCGATCGTTAAGATAAAGAGTAATCGATAGGTGAGAATCCACAATCGTTTCAGCCCTAATTTTAATGTGATGGTGGTGCATCCACATGGCTCGGCACACTAACCACCGTTAACACGCATGCTCTCGCTATTGCAGACCAGTGGAGAGCACACATCATACAGGGGCGTGCTCGGCCCCCCAACTAGGGGGGGAGGGGGGGGGCACGGGAGCCGAGGGGAGCCCCCCGGCAATTTTCTGCAATTTGTTTGCAACCTTTCTTGAATTTTAGAGCATATTTGCATACATTACAATTGCAATTACCCAGATTGAAATTTTTTGGGGGGTGCACGTGCCCCCCATGCCCATCGCCGAGCACGCGCCTGTCATATGGAGGATTCATGGAGTGCTGGGCAACTGAATCTGGCATGTGATAATCATGTAGGTTAGTCCACGTACGAGGTGCAGCTCATGAAATGGGCACCCATGAACTGGGCGGAGTGTGGACGGCCTGTATGATAGTGTGTATGTATGTCCACGCACAAAGTGCAGCCCATGAGATGGGCGCCCATGAAATGGATGGAGTTTGGACGGCCCACGCACGAAGTGCAATGCCCGTTAGGAGGCAGGAGTGTGGGAGTATGAGTGTGATGGCCGAAGGCCGTGATAATTGCCAGATGAGAGGAGATAGCTGGCCCAGCACTCCTATTTATTTTCGTCTTGTATGAATTATGATACCTGTGTTGAATCAAGGATATCAATATTATTCATAGCTGGGAAGAGGTGGGTGGGTGAGAAAGGAACAAACCGGTGTTCTTCTCATGACCCAAGCAAAGCAAATATGAAGTAGCAATGTGGCCAGCGCGAAGTATGGTGTATGCGTTACGGGTTCAAGCTTCGATGTGTGCTGCAGCCGCATATGGCTGGTTGGCTGGCGAGTTCAGGTGAGTTCCGGCGTACGCATGTTACATGCCACCACAGCGTGCATGTACGTGTTACTTGACATGCATCAATGAATAGCGTGGGATCTGCGGGCTCTTTGGAAGCCGCTGGAGTGCGTGTGAAGTGGTGGCTTGTGCAATGTGTTAAAACCTACATTACCGCAAGCTCTAATGTGCTATATTAATGAAAAGCAGGTGGTCTTATAGATGGGGAGTGGTATTGTTCAAGGACGTGCAGCAATTGGGGCACCTACGGAGTAGATGGCTGGAGTTGCCAATCTGCGGGAGGCTCGAGATAAAGACTGTTAGGCCCCTTGAGGACTAACATACCAATACACATTCATGCATCCTTACACGAACTCACAAAACACTATGACTCATGTGGTAGACATAACTCTGGGTCAGCTAAAACAACAACACTCATCGGTATCCGAGCATGCGCAATACAGTAAGGGGCCTTCCTTAAATACCAATACTTATTTAGAAACGAAAACTAGTCGTTTCTCTTCAACCCTCTCCCCCCTCCCTCAGAAACGAACACATACAAACAGTACATGTATCGACATTTATTCTTTTTCTTCTGGACGTGCCCCCGCATCCAAGCTGTACATCAATCATTTTCGAGAAACGAACAGGCTCTCAACCCCCTCCTCCGGAGCTCCCTAAACGACTAGTTTTCGTTTCTAAATAAATATCTCAGCACACGAAGCACTATAATTTCATCTAGGCATTTCGTACCATTAGTCTTCAAGTCGAATACAATGGTGATAAACAAGGTAGCAACAAGAGCAATGACTTGACGCAGACTCACTCTAGATATTTTCCACATTATTTATCTAATATTGACTGAGAACGAGGTCAATATACGAAACAAAAGCCTAGTAAAAGACCGAGGCGAAGCCGACGTATTTTATGAGGTTCTATTTCCTATGCTGACCAAGTACGAAGTCAATATTAGATTTACTACGACAAACAGTCCGTATTTCAAATTCCAGAACGATAACATCATGAATCCTAGGTTCATGATTGCACAACCGTTGCGCCATCACATACTCATACAACCATGTATTGGCTACTGAATGCTGCTCGGATTGTGCCATTGTTGCACAACCCAGCAAAGTGCATGTGACCATGCACTAGGCACCGTTCAACTGCGCAACCCATAAGAAATCAAATATAGCCCTAATGAGTGTAATATGCAGGAATATTTGACTGCTTGCAATGGACAGCTGGGAATTTTCTCTTCGACCTACATGTTTGAGCCGCCGACTGACTAAATATACCTTAGGACCTAATTAGTTACTCCAAGAAAACGCGACCGCGATCGATCGTGAGGGCAATGAAGTCAAAGACGAAGTCTATCTTGAATTTTTTGTTTGCAGGTTAGATAGATCAGTCGATCGATTGTAGGCAGTCAGAATGGCAAGTAACGATTGTGGCATTGAGTTTGTCGGTGTGCCGCATGAGAACGCGTGTCTTTTAGATGAGCACGACGAGTCGTTCTACTGCGATGTCTCCCAGGGTACAATGACAGCGAGCGTGATGATTGCGATGTCGGAGACAACAACTCGTTCGCACCGGCGGCAGAGAAGCGCCAGCTCCGTCAGTCTGACAACGACGAAGATGAGAATTACAATGACTTGGAGCAGGAAGGTCCGCGTGTCGAGGAAACCGTAATCGCCGCAGAGATAGTGGACTGGATATCAATCTGATGTAGCTGCCCTGGCGACAATCACTTTGCTGCGCTCGACAAGGACCTTTTGAAAATCTTGTCATCTTGTTAGCTGAAGCGCTGCTCTCGCCAAAGTCACAGCCCGGCCCACTCTTCAAAAAGTACGGACTGGATGAACTGGCTGCCTCAGTGACCGCGGGATACGCGAACCTGGCAACAAGTATGATACCGCATATACCCGTAAAAGCCAGTGTATAGGCCCCGGGCGTATAGAATAGCAGCATCGATTTCCTGGGCGTATCCATGGGCACGGGCGTTATTTTGGATCCGGGCGTATATTGGGAATAGGGATAGCAGTAAGTAATGGGTATCAGTACCTGTGCATGTACTGGTGTTGCCGGCATACCTGGGAGTATACATGGGCATGGGTGCTGTTTCGAAACAAAAGTGTTGACCTCCCCTGACTGGGCGTGTACACGGAGGGTGGGCGTAATTTCGAGTGGGCGTATACAGGGGCTTTTACGGTATGTACATAGCCGAATTTGACAATTATAGTGCATTCTACAATATGGAGAATTCAAGGTACTTGCAAGGCTAATATTGATTTGAAAGTTTGTCACATGGAAGTCTACATACTAAAGTACATTTTCCAAATAAAAAGGGAATTTCAAAAAAGTTCACCCCTAAGGTCCATTTACTGAGATCATGGCTCATTTTAGTTTTTGGAAATAACCCAGATATGACTTGGTTACGATCGATTGAAATTTTGAAAAGTTTCGATCCCAGGGGATAGAAAGTTGTACAGTCCTTAAACAAAGGGATAAGCAGTCAATAGGGAGGTTTAGTTCCCACGTAATGGAAACACGTATGTGGGTAATACACGTAAAGTGGATGAAGGGCACCTACGTTGCAATGTTGTGTTTAGTCACACGGAACAAACAAAAGCATGAAGCGAAAGGCCCAAACCTGGTCAAAGACGAAGCGACCCGGACCTAAGAATCTCATCGAATATTTTAGTTTTGTGATTCGGAAACTTCTTCAGCTGAGCACCCTGACAGCTCGCACAATGCGCTCCATTCTGATTTTCACCCACATTCTGGTGGAACGTGGGTGAGCCTCCATACACGGTATGTCGTGAATCAGAAAACGTCTGTACGTGGGTCACTGAGTATCACGTGGTACGCACACGTAAAGTACCCACGGATTACGAAGGACTAAACCTCCTTAATATAGCCCGAAGGAGTGAAATTTGCAGGAATATTTGACTGCTTAGGTATAGCGATAATCAAGGGGAGCCAATACTAAGAGAGTGATAAGTCCTTATATGACCGGTTGTACTGTAACCCTGTATAGGTTGCAAGCACCCGCTGACCGGTGAAACCGCCTCTTTCCTATTCCTTTCCACTACTGTAGTTTGATTTTCTGATTGTTTCTTTGTTTGT